TCAAGCATTTTGGTGCTTATTTTGTATAACTTCAAAATGCCTCTATCAACATTGTTATTAATTTCAGTGTTTTTAACATTATTTATTGATCTACTATTTATGATAGAAAGTATATGCATGTGCACGAGAAGAGAGAGAGAAAAAAAAATGGCCTTGTCAGGGTCCCATCACACCATAATTATTTATTGATCTACTATTTATGATAGAAAGTATATGCATGTGCATGAGAAGAGAGAGAGAAAAGAAAATGGCCTTGTCAGTGTCCCATCACACCAGGGTCCCTCTTCCCCAGCCTTCCAGTTCCTCAGGCTCTTGGGCATCAGTACCCATTCCCAGTGTGTTTTTAGGTTGACCAGGTGTCTGAACTGGACAAGCCATGTACCTGCCAGCAACAGTTCAGTAGATATGTTATGGACTGTACTACCTAGGTTTGGCCTAATTTCAGTATTTTAATAAAAGGTTAAATGTGATTGCTATCAACCTCTACCTCAGTGCTGTCCAACATAAATATAATTCAAGCCACATACACAGTGTATATTTTTCTAGGAGCTACTTAAAAAAATAAAATTAATAATATATTTTATCTGAACTAATTTCAAAATATTTTTAGCAGATAAACTACATAAAAATGTTGAGGTTTTAAATTCTATTTGTGCTAAAATTTGAAATTTAGTATGTACTTTAAATTTTCCACAATTTCAATCTGGACTGGCCACACTTCATGTGTTCAGTATCTTCGTAGGGTTAGTGGCTACTCTATTGAGTAATTGGGGTTTACACTTTATTTCTAGACCCTGTTCTGTCTGAGAGTGAACTAGGATTACTCTGGCCCTTAAGGTAGAGAATCCCCAGGGACAGTAGCTGGGAAATATAACCTTTGCTAAGATAAGTAATAGCGTTCCCAATGTTGGAGGATGGGATTCATGAGATCTAAGGAAGGGTCTGGTCTTGGGACAGAGGAGCAGGACAGAGAAATAATACAGCACAAGGGGGCTAGCAGATGATCTGGAAGAAATCAGACAAGGAGAGGCTCCCACCTGTGTCCTCTTTTGTCCTGTTCCTCTTACTCTCTGATTCTTTTCCTTAAGCACCTGCTAATTCCCTATACCAACCCAATCAGAGTCTACAGAATAACTAGGAACACTGATGTGTCCTAGTGTGGATGCAAATGAGTAATAAGCATATTAAAAGAGGTTCATTTTGGAAATAAGAACGGAGAATGTCAACAAAACACCCATAAAGGATTTTGGACAGGAAGATAGAACACTTTCAGAGTAGCACTTGGCTCCATTAATCTCTTTGTGTACTTCAGAACTTTGGAATGGTTCGGATTTGAAATATTTTTCTTTTGTGAATTAATGATATTAAAGAAAACAATTTTGTTACTTAAAAGTATCATGTTACGTTCAGCATGGGCATGACAAAATGGATATTACCATGACTAATCTCAGTGACCCTGACCCCTTTCTTGTTTCGACTCAATTTCCATTGCTTAGGGACAAATTTCTCTCTGCATTTCTTCACTTAAATTCCTTAGAGAAAAAAAGTCTTATCACCTCACATTTTGGATTTGGCCACATCATCACTTGCAGACTTCTTTCTGGATGGATAAGATTTTTAAAAATTTGCTAGTGGATGTATATGCTTGCCAGAGAAAGATAGAGGGAAAATAAAAAAATCATTCCCCATCATGGGGTGTGGCCATGTCGCTATCCCTTCACCTCCATTTCTTCCCCCATTCGAGATTCTGGGTATGTATGCACATCTGCTCAGCATGTTTTTCAAACTGAGGGGGTCCTGAATGCAAACCACACAGTTGGCCATGTGGCATCCAGTCGCCTTAACCACTCCACTGGTTGGCCCTTGATGGGCAATTCTTGATGATCCAAGTAGTGCAATCAGCAATGCAATAGATTGTTGTGATCCCCATTGAACTGTGGGTAGCTGGACATAGTAAATGGCATATTTTCAGCATGCATATGTACCAAGCAAGCTGGGTAGCAAGCTGGCTGACTGCTTAACTCCCTTCAAAGCATTACGGAGTAGTAGATGAGAGAGCAGGGATTCAGGGAGACTTCCCAGATTCAAACCTTGATTCCTCAAAGAACCAGCTGAATGTACTCAGGCAACTTAGTCTCTCTAAAAATCTCTCATCTATACAACAGAGATGCTAAGATTATCTACCTCTTGGTTGGTGTGAAGATAAACTGAAATAATATATGAAAGTTATTTGAATAGAACCTGGCATCAAATTAGTGCTATCTGTTATTTTTTCTTCTCACCTTTATGCAGAGCTAGTCATCCATTTGGCACATTGAGTTTTGGCTTGTTAATCTTTCCAACCATAAACAGTGGGTATTGTCATTTCTATTCCTCTATGAGGCAACCAGGGCCAGTGGGGGTTAAGCAATCAGATTAAAACCACACAATTAATAAATGGCAGAGGTGGGACCAAAACTGTAGGTTGACTGATTTCAAATCCCAATTCCCCTATTTCACCAGAATTTTTTTTTTTCCCAAGAGACCACATGTAGTAAGAAAGCTGAGTGTCCAGAGTCAACTTCACTTTGGGAAATTTTACTTCAATAATACGTAGCTGATTATCCCAAGATCTTATTTAGTTTCCAGGAAGCCTTGACTCTAGTCCCATGACCTATTCATGTCTCTGCTTTCGGCTGCCAACGTGCATGCCCTTCTAGAGAGCACGATATCTATACAGTTGGAGCTCACGACCAGGAAGACCTTGAAGACGTATAGAGAAGGCATGTTCCGATTTGTTTTGCAGGGAATGAACTGATGCCTTTTCAGCCAAGATCAGGCACAGGATCTGAACAACATGGCCGTAGAACCCCATGAAAAGGCCCAGGCTCCTGCCCCAAGAACTATAGTGATGAAAGAGCCGACAGCCTTCCTGTCACTCTCCATCTGCACAGAAGCCTCCCAATGCTTTCCATGGCTGTGCAGCTTGACCAGAAACATCATGCATTTCCAAAATATTTTATGTCATGCTTTGGCTTTTTAAAAAGAGGTCCAAGCTTTGGGACCAGCAGTTAGCGTAATGGCTATGTCGCTGGACTCCCATGTAGTCAACTGTGGTTTGAGTCCTGGACCCGGTGGCTTAAACTCACACCGGGCACATGTGCGTGCATGCCCAAGATCCTGAGAGGAGAATGGAGGAAAAGGGATTGCGGTGTGGCCATCCCCCCTGGGGGTGGGGGGGGTGATTTTTCGCTTTCTGTCTCTGTCTCTGTCTGTCTGATGAGTGCACGTGCCCTATAATAAAAACCTCTCAAAAAAAAAAAAAGAGGTCCAAGCTTTGAATGCTTCCTTCAAAGATAGACTTCGCCTTTGGAGCTTTGGGGGAAAAAAGAACACACACACACCTGTGTAGGAAACGTGAATGTATGACATTTAAGAGTAGGGCCATTATAAACGTTGGTGCTGCTAGATTCTGAAAATCAGACCTTGGAAGGGGATGCCGCCTCTGCTGATTGCACTGTAATGGGTACAGCTAAACAGGCTCCAGACACTGCCAGAGTAGCAGGTATCTGTGTGACTACAGAGAAACATGTAAGAAAGAAGACAGATGGTGTACTTAGGTGCACTTAAGTCTGATTGCATGAGTTGATAATGAATGTTTAAATATGGCACTCCCATAAAATCAGATATCTGTAGACAATACTGGAATAACTACAGACTTGCTAAGGGGAAAAAAAAAATGAAGTTGTAGATTCTAATTTTTGTTTTTGTCATTATTATGATTGTCTATTTACTTGGATGAGAATTTTCATAACTTTCTCAGAGCCTAATCATAAAACAAAAAAACACAATCAGGAGCATAGAAAACAGATCCTTAGAAAGGAAAGGAAACCTAAAGATCATTTCAGCCTTGTGAAAGCATGATGCCCAGCTAGGTGAGATGACAGGTCAGACAGCTCCTGGAGACAGACTGAGAGTGGAAAGCTATGCCCACCCCCTGGCACCGTCACAAAGCAGGCTTCCTCTCCCCGAGGATTTATGAAACATCACGAGCCAAGCGAGACTTGTAAACAAAACACAGCAAACACTGTTCCAAGGGGGAAAAAATCTTTTACCCTCTCAGTAACTACTTTGATTTACATGTTTAATTGGCCCCAAACCAGATTAAATAGGATATTTCAAGGCCTTAATAAATGTCGGATTTCACAAAGGCAAATGGGCACTCGATGTTTTTAAGAGGCTCCCATGTGACCACCTTTTGTGTGTATGCTGTCCGGACTGCTCTCCAGTTTAAATGTGAAAGTTCCAAAAGTAGAAACTGAAAGCTCTTGCTTATCAGATACCAGTGACTAACTACGGCTTCAGGTGATTCTGGGGAGGATGCCCACTTCACGTGTGCATGGGGTACTTCACATGTGTGCAGGGATGGCCAGGGAGGTGAAGAGAGCTAATCCCCATCCGAAGTGCATGCTCCACACAGCAAGTAGACATCGATCAGGCGCTGTAAATAAATTGGACCTGGCACCTTAAGTGCCTTAAATGTTTGAAGTTAAACCTTAAATCGCATCCTTATTCTTAAGGAAGCGGGCGAGTCTCCCATCAAAGAGACTGGTGGCATAATCAAGATGAGTAATGCTGCCGACTTCTGAAAGGACTTCACGATCTGAGGAGGAGAGACGGTCCCTGGAGCAGGAGCACTAAAAGTCCACATGTCACTTAGCACAAGCGGGAATCTGGGTGCTGAAAGATGCACATACTGTAAAATCTGAGTGTTGACATGTGTCGGGAACTCGGTATAGTGCTGGAAAAACTTTCCGATCATGTCCAAAGGAGGCCCACACCAGGCTGCCACAATGGCGGTCTCTGCTAGACTCTAGAAGATTTCGAAAATGGCAATCTGGAAGCCAAGGCAAAAGACTACTTTAAATACTATTTAAAACTACTTTACAATTTACGTATTGTGGGGTATGCATAGTATGCACCCCCTGCCTCATCTGCCACCCCTCTACTCTCTCTTTCAGGGAACAGCTCCTGGCCAGGGTTGGTCTCTGAAAAATGAACACCCCCACCCCCAAAAGGAGTGGCTTACAGAAGGCAGGCAGCTGAGAGGAAGGTCTGAGGAGACTAAATATCTACAGGTGCCTGAGCTTGTTTCTATCCGATGGCTATAAACCTACTTGCTGCGTTGCCTTGACGTGGATTCTTCACTGATGGCCGCCATTGGTGTCTTCTGGAAGTCAAGCATACTGATTTCTTCGCCCGCTGGAGCTCTGAATGACTCCTTTGGAACAGGTAAACATGACACACAAGCCCTTTGGGGTTAATGCATAGCACGTATATATTGTATACTTGTGTAACTATGACCATAAAGTTATTTATAATTCTCACATGACTAGATACATTTAGGAAGGAAATATAAAAATCGTACCTCTTTATCTTCCAAAGAGTTTCATTTTTTCCCAACCCATTGAGATGGCAACATGACTACCAATGACAATTTTAAAAGACAAGGTAAATACTGTAAAACTTTTACAAATTCATCACAGACAGGGTGGAGGAAGAGATGCCATCAGCAAAATAGAGATTTTGGAAAGTTCTGGGAACCAGATAGCTTGTGATGTAAGATTGACACGGAAATTAGAACAGGAGAACAATCCTAACTATATGGGCACAGCAGTTCTTGCTGATGAGGACTAGGAGAAAGCGGAGCTCAGAACGAAGGTGTAGAGAGAGCGTGAGTAGTCAGTGGGGCGACCAGGTGGGATGGACTGAGGCTTCACTGAAAGAGCTGGTCTGGGTTCGCTCTTCCTCCACTGTAACTGTGACTGCTTGCAGCAAAGGAATCTCAGCTGAAGCAAGAGGTGTTTCCTGTTGAGAATGGCTGGTAAACCAAGTCACACTGGAATTTCAAAACTTCATAATATGCCTGAAAAGATGGAAAATAATAATAAAGGGGAAAGGTAAGGCATCTCCACCCAGAATTGAAAGTGTGTTAGCCATTGATGTGTTTCATCCAAAGTAAATGCACCCTTTCTCTGGCAGTTCGGAAGAAAGGGCAGACTTCCCAGGAGTTCTTGATCAATCCTCTAAGTCAGCTTGCCAATAAGCCCTTCCCACATCACTCGGCCCGTCCCCATTCAGGGGAGGAGCTTCCCATAGTGACACAAACTTCCCAGAAGCGAGAAAGTTGATATAATCCACAGGGAAAGGAATTGTAAATAGATTTTGAAGATGAAGTGGATTTTTCTGGAAGGACCCAAATGACCAAAATTGATTCCAAAATTAGAAAACAACCTACACAGGTTGAAAATCATAGAAAAATCTGAGATCTTCTCCTACTCTCTTACAACCCCCATCACCAAAAGCAATAAATCAAGACAGTGTTACAAGTCAAAGTCATCAATACCTTATAAGCTAATAAGTTCTTCATTCATGTAAAAGCACTCTCAAATCCTAGAATAAAATGAAGAGCTGCTTAACAAATTCTTTGCAGCCACTGGAATTTTTATACCAACCTCGGAAAAGAATTGTATCATTTAAAAAAGGGTTAAAAAAATTGCTGTTTATTATACTTATAAATCTATAGACAAAAGTTCTAGAATAAAATTTAGCAATCTAGAACTAGTAAACTTATGAAAATAATATTTTATGATTCAGTGATGCGTTACTGAAGAATGATTTTTTTTTCTAAAAAAATCGGCCCATTAAACATTAATTCATAACCAGTCTAGTCTGGTGAGCCATTAAATATTATTATTTTCTATTTGCCATGACCTAAAGAACTTTGAGACATCTTAGTTTAACCTAAAATGTTATTACAGAAATATGTAGGGAGTAACTTATTGATGTTACAGAATGTGCGATTGATATTAAACGTGTGTCTATGTGTTTGAACATGGATTTAAAAAGCGAAAGGATAAACATCAACCTAGTAACAGCGGTTGCTGTGAGGGGAATCAACCTTTTACTAAATGTTATATCTTCATTTAGCGCAGGCCTGTCACATAGAAGACACTCTATTAAAGGATTAAGTACATTGAGTTGGGGGGAAATAGACATTTCCCTTTTATTATAGGCATTTATTATATTAATTAAATATTTTAAAATAAGCATATATGTAATTATATCAAAATGATGTAAATTAAAGCTACCTACGTAACTGTATACACACACGCAAATATCTAGCTTCCATTTCCTGATGGTCACTCATTCACAAAAATATGTTGAGAAAGTATTGTGTAGCAGATACTGCCCTAAATGCTTGGTATTGATCAGTGAACCAAACCAACAAAACGATGTCAAATTCAATTTTTGTTTACTCGTAATTATGATTATTCAATCGTTTTCTAATTTATCAGACTGATTTCTTAATCTATTTCAGATACTCTGTTAGGGGAAATCCATTGAATCTTATAAAAAATAAATGTTCTCTTAATTACAGTCTCCCATCTGTACATGAGGTCAAGTTGTAGAAATCTGCTAGGAAATGAGTATTTATATTCTTTGTTCTCTACTTTTGAGAAAAATTCTCCAGCATTTGTCTTAGGCCCTTATGTTAAAAAAACAACACGGGGCAGGGCCAGATAGTGGCACAGTAGTGAAATGGGATGTGGAGGCTTCGCGAGGCTGATGCACGTGTGAGCGTTCCTGGTTTGCATCCAGAGGCCTCCCTGAGCGTGCTGAGCACAGGTGTGCTATAATTCAGGGCTGGCTGGGGCTGGGATTGGATCATGGAGTTGTAATCCGTTGGAAATATTGTCTCTCTCTCTTTATGTCGTTCCTGCTCATGAAAGAAATAAGTAACTTAGGGAAAAAAAGTAAATGCTAAGAAAGAAGAATAAATTGTTTATTATCTATATACATTTGAAAAATTCACAGCTTTCTAGCAACAGGGAAATGGACTGAAAAACACTGAGTTTGAAATCAGATAGGTATGATTGTAAATGCTATATTAGATGTTAGCATGTGTCTAGGATACCGGATTTAACACCATGGCAAGGGCAGAGCAAGCAGAGTTAACTCACTGCTAGAATGGCTCTTGGAGGCTTGAAGAAAGTTACAGTCCACCTTACATGAAATAGAAATACCATCTGTGACATGGCAGACTGTGGAAGAAGGGTTCAGAGAGCTCTAAGAAATGGGCATGTTAGAGTAGATATACTATATAGGCTTGCAAAACCCTCTGAGTGGTTACATTTTCTGGGAGAGTCCAGAGGACGTTTTGTTTACCAAAGCAATAAAGAATTTATGGGTGAGAACCGTATGAGCATTACTTAAAAACAGTAATGGTTGTCCTTTGAGGCCTAGGCTCAATGTTGGCAGATGTCGATACAAAATTGGCCTCCTTATAGCACTGGAAGAGAGAGGATCTTAAGTGAAGGAGGCCAGGTGGCAGTACTTAATTCTTAGACGCCCTGTGGGTATAATTATCATGATGAACAGTAGGGCTGGAGTGGCAGCCAGGAGGTCCTGACCTACAGAGAGCTATGAAGATCATAAATAAGATACTAGCCAAAAGCATACTGCGTGGTCTATAGTGTCAAGATAAATCAAGATCGGATCATCAGGAGACTGAAGGCAGCCAACCAGTACAGTCTTGATCTGTTCTCTCACTTCTAGATCAAGATGAGCTTTTGTTCTGGAATCTACTAATAGATGACCTTCAGGAGAAGGCAACCTAGAGCACGAGGGTGAGGGTAATCATATTTTCTTGATACTACCCAAAGGGGCCATCAGCCATCTACAACAAGAAAAGAGGGGATTCTAAGTATTTCCATCAGAGAAGGCTAGTTAACAGTATGACCTGAGGTTCAAGGCTTCGTCTTGGCTCCCCAGGTTAAGATGAGGATTATGGCCCCTGAGCTGTGAACCGTGTTCTCACCAGGAATGGGCCACAGTGTGTCTGATGGGTCCAAGGACCCACACTGTGGTCATTTCCCAGACCCCAAATGTACAGTTAAATTAGACACACTTAGTAGTGGTAGGCCCATGTTGGTCCTGCCACTTGGGGAGGAAGAGTCAAGTGCAGACTCTGATACTGGACTTGCCCCTCTTACTAAAATGGGTTACAGGAAAATAATTCAGGAGGATGGCGGAAATTAGTGTCACCTAAAGAATATAAGGATAGCAATTTCTAGTTCATCTCCATGTAATTCATACCTTATAAAAAGTTGGATGGAGGATAATAGTCTAATGACAACTCAATTGAGTAGCATCCCAGTTACAGGTAATATGGCTTCAAGTATGTGATATGACTTTTATTTTTTTTCCATTCCTATGAAAATAATGGATCATACAGCCAGCAGGTGGCATGGTGGTTAAGAAACTAGACTCCCAAATTATTGACCATGGTTCAAGTCCAAAATCAAACGACTTGCTTTCTTACTCCTCTTCTCTCTCTTTCTTTCTGTCTCTCTCTGGTGAGCACACATGCCCTATAACAAATTAAAAATAAAAAGAATAAGGATAAATAAAATTTTAAAACGTGAATCATAAACAGTTTGCATTTACATAAAAAGACAGCATTATGCATGTTGAGTCTTACCCAAGAACTATGTGAACTCTCATACATCTATCAAAATACTGAAGAAAGTTGGGCCATCTTGCCATACCTCAGGGTATTAAACTTGTCTATTAGATAATGACATCATGCTGCTAGGTACAAATGGGCAAGATGCAATAAATGTATTGCAGACTGGGATAAGACAAGCCCCCAGTAGGTTAGGAGATAAGCATGCTGAGGATTCAGGGGACCAATATATTAGGAAATTTTTTAAGGCTCCAGTGGTCTGAGACAATGCTGTGGCATACATTTCAAACTAAAGCACAAATGATTTCAACTCAGATCTCACATGGTGATGAAGGAAGTAAAATATTCCTTCAAGGAAGCCTTCAGATTCTGGAGATGGGACTATTGCTCATCCTAGGTGACCCAAAAGACAGACATACACAAGTGAAGTCCAGAGTAGAAAACGGCTTTGCAAAAGCGTTGGGCTCCCCACGAGTAAACCTGCTGTTTGATCTTGGCAACTGTGGTATTAGTGGTATTGCTGTTGGTAAAAGGTGGTATCTTAGTTCATTCAGGCCACTGAGGCAGAAATACAGAAATTGGGTGGCTTATGGACAACAGAAACACATTTCTCTCCATTCTTGAGGTTGAGAAGCTCAAAGTCCAGGTGCTGGTAGACTGGGGGTCGGATGAGGGTCCACTTCCTGTTTTGCCAATGGCAGTTTCTCTCTTTCACATGGCAGAAAGGGCAAGGATCCTCTCTGGGATCTCTTTATAAGGGCAC